GGGGGCAGGGGGCAACACCAAGGAAGGGTGAAGGAGGAAGCCCCGACCCTCTGAGAAGGAAGGGAGGAGCCGTCACCTGACGTGGCTTCAGTTTCAAGACTGCCCTCAGCCAGTTATGTCACATGAACAGAAACTTATTTATAGCAATTTAGCTCCAGGCACGTGAATTTGAAAGGGAAAATTTGGAAAGTTCTGGGCAAGGGGAGCCCCTGGTGACTATGAAAAACAAGCCCATTCCTCCTCCCCATCCTGTGATGTCACACTCCTCTGCCTGTCACTTCAGGGCCCCCAGAGTAGAACCGACGTCAGCATCAACCACGTCAACCAAAAAAAATCAGTATTTACAAGTGACAGGAAAACTAGCCCCTGGGAGGAGTACGGCTGGATTCTTGCTGTTTCTAGGACTGGAAGCCAGGACTTGGCTCTGTCCCTGTGTTCCTTCTTAGCAAAGCTGTGACTTTGAGAGGATTAATGTTTGATTTACACAGAAAGATTGCTTGGCTGGATCAAAATAAAATAATTGGAAGTACCTACCTTGCCACCGGTTGGTTCTCCTGCTCCTCTACGAGAGAAGGGGTAAGGAACCAGAGGAGAAAAATAATTTTTTTCCAACACTGCAAACCATTCTATTCCTCCTCCCCTTTTGGTAAAGAAATATTTAAGTCGCATGCATTCTTGGAGAGAATTTTCAAAAAACACTCAGCCCACAAGAATTCTGTTCATCCCACAGAATCTGCCTGAGTCCTGCGAGCATTTGCTTAGACGGGCTCCTCCCCTTTCAGCCCATCAGCGTTTTCTTGCTCCTCCGATACCAGTAGGTTAGGGTGACCAGGCATCTGCCGCTGCAGGACACAGTGTGCCAAAGCAGGGCTCCTGCCAGACGGGGGCTCCGATCCCAAGTCAGTGTAGAAGGAGTGGGAAAAAAGGGGCCTGCATTTAGCTAAACTGCACCAAGTGCTCCAGCTAACTCCCTCTGGTGCTTATCTTATTTGTTATAGTGCCTGTCTAGTATTTTTTGAGTTTTCTTGTTTAAATTATTTACGAACACAAACACTGCCCAGGATTTATTACAGTGGCTCACTGTCTATATGGGATAGTTTTTGGAAATAAGATTAACCACGAGATAGAAAAGCACCAGCCATCTGGGAGTGTTCTTCCTTTCCAAGCAAGGAGGGTGGAACCGCACGTTTCCTCGGGAAGCCAGGATCCCACGTGCGGCGGTGACCAGTTGGCCGCTGTGCCTGAGCCTGGAGGCCAGTGCTTCCCTTGTAATTGACTCTCCGGTTTCCCGAGTGGGAACTGTCTGGTTAATATCAGGTCATTTCTATTCTTCATCTTGTAGCATAATGTTAGGCTTTCTCCATGGCAGGAACCCCTGGCAAGTCCTTCAACATCAAGGAAGTGAAAAAATGCCCAAGAAATCTTCCCTTTCTCCACCCAGCCAGGAAGGTGGACATGTCCGGCCAAGTTCAGAAATAATATTGTTGGTCTTGACGCTGCCTTTTTTAAAATGACAGTGGATGATTTGGCTCTGGCAGGGCAGTGGTGAATTTAGTCACTGGCTCTACAAGTCTAGAAATGGTCCAAGCAGTTTTATTCTTTCAGGGTATTTAAGCTGTCATTGAGATCCCCATAGCACATGATATTCTCGGGTTTGTTCAGTACTGGAGGAAAAATCTTTTGGAACTAGATTTTCTTTTAATTTTGTTTTTTAAAAATAAAAAAAAGTTTTTTAATTTTTACTGTATTTTTATAACATTTGGGGTTTGTTATTTTCCTCAAAAAAAAAATGCAATTCAATTAACATTAAATGCTAGATGCAAGGAGATCCGAAAGATAAGAAGCGGTCCTTACCATCATGGTTCTCACTGATCAGCAGGAGAAACAGGCTCAAAAACAAAACAACTAAATACACAGGGAAAAATTGCATAACTCAAGCTTTGTATGTATAAAGGAGCAATTACTTTGGCCTGGGGAAGAGAGGAGAGGCAGGGAAAACCTGAGATGCCACCCAGCTAGTTCTTAGTCTGTCAGCAGAACCTGTCAGGAGAACATCCTGCAAAAGGCATTCCCAGTGGAAGGAACAGCATGTGCTAAAGGTCTCAGGTAGGAAAAGCCTTCTCCTATAACTAGTGTGTAATCCAAGGGGACAGAGTAGTGGAGGTGAACCCGAAGGCGGAGCTATGAAGAGAAAGAGACGGGAAAGAGAAGCCAATACGGCACATTAGGTACTCCTTCCTTGAGAGGGCAGTCGTTGGGTAAGCCCTTGACGAAGTGCCTCTCCGTATGTTTGCTGTTTGACTTGACTAAAGCAAGGACTAATCGTTCCACCTGGCATTTGGGGCAGAGGCAGAGAGACGCCTGGGCGAGTGCGGCAGGTGTCGCTGAACACGGCAGACGCGCCCCGTGTGTTTACCTCGTGGCTTATTTCGCGTTCGTCACCATAGGAAGTAAGCAAAAGTAATCAAAGCCCGTCGTTGACCCAGAACGACGGAAAAACGACCACCCTCTTCTTCCTCCAGGCTTGTCTGAGACGACAGGAATACAGAAGAGATTCAAATGAGAAGAAACGAGATCAGTTCGGGGGGCAAGAGGCAAATGCGGACAGATCCCGGTTTTCAAGCAGGTCATCTTCCAGACAGGTACTCAGAACTCTGGAAGGCATTCTCCTGCTGCTCTGTGTGTGTGTGTGTGTGTGTGTGTGTGTGTGTGTGTGTGAAAAAGCCAACACAAAAAGGGGGTGTTGAAGAATCCTAACGGTCAAGGGCAGGAGCTCCCATTCTGGGTACCACCCCCACCCCGAGACCTGACCTTCCCTCTTCACCCTGGTTCGGCCTCACGCTTCTTTCCTTATAGTCTAACCCATCGCATTGCAAATCCAGTTCTTATTTTAAATGAAGAGAGTAAAATGCAGCAATAACTGCATCATAAATAACTAGCCACTGTTCAAATATTTTTGTCTAGGATGATAATAAATAAAAAGATCAATATAATATAATAGCAATATGAGAATGATGATAACAGCAATAGGAGTTACCATTATTTTAGTGCTTACAACATTCATACCGTGCCAGGTACTTTATACATAGTAGCTTATTTAATTTTCTTAAATCTCTATATATTATTTGCCTCGTTTTACAGAGGAGATAACTGAGCCTTAGAAAAGTTAAGAAACTTTACCTCGGATTTTACAGCCAGTATGTGGTAAGGTAGGGATTCCGTTGCAGGCAGACTGAGCCCAGAGAGGGTGCTCTGAACCGCTGAGCCGTACGATCATGTTTCATGTGCAGTTAGCACTTATCTGCGTGAGTAGTTTACTTATGCCATGTAAGCTAAATACCACAGGCTGCGTTCAACACCCGTTGTTAGCATGGTGAATTGATTTAAGATGAGTAATATGCCTTTTATGAAGTCTTATTTAATATTTTATGCCTGAAATATACTCTAGAGGATGGATTCTCTCTTCTATTGGCGATGTGGATCCCTGAGATAGGTTCTGGATACCTGATATCAATCAAATTCTTGTTGGGATTTCTTCTCTAATCTAGGATGTTCACACTGCGGTTATTTAATGTTCAAAGGACACCTAGAAACATCAGTGATTGATGTTCATGGATATAGCTACATCCCTGGGAGAGATCTATACTCCCTATTAAGGACCATACAGTCACACGATAAAATATTCCTCCTAGAGTCTGAAGGTGAGAGAGACTATCGCACAATATTGGCAGCACTGAGAAAAAGATGTCGCCTAGATCTTTCCTGTTACTTAAGGACTAAATATAATGCCTGATGCTGATGAAACTTAGGGCGTGAGATCAATCCAAAAATTAAGTCTAGTTTGGCTAGAACAACACATTTTTAGCATTAAGATAACTTCTCATATTTTTGTACTTAGGAACAAAAATCAAGGACAGATAAAAAATGTAATGTAAATTTAAGACAAATAGGTAGCATGTAGCAATCTTCCAGATTGGAGTTGTCAAACAATGGGCAGCTGGGTTCTTCAGTTTTTATGCAAAGACCCACATATGCAGTCGAGGCTGTTTTGTATGGCGATGCTCATGCATTTAAGACATTTTAAGTCTTGAGTTTCATGCTCCTCTTCACAGTCTTGTTTGGGGGACAAGCTGGTGACAGATTCCTATAGTTTTCTTCAACTATAAAAATTATTCATTCTTGCCCGGCCGGGGTGGCTCAGCGGTTGAGCGTCGACCTAGGATCCAGGCGATCAGGGTTCAATTCCCGGTCAGGGCACATGCCCGGGTTGCGGGCTGCAGCCGATCAATGACTCTCTCATCATTGATGTTTCTATCTCTCTCTCTCCCTCTCCTTTCCTCTCTCTGAAATCAATAAAGATATATATATTTTTTTTAAAGTTAAAAAAAAAAAATTAAAAAATTATTCATTCTTTAAGTCATCATTGCAAAACATTCAGACCGTATCTACAAAGGACATAGTTGTACATATAAAAGTAATTATGAAATCAAGACAAAAATAGGTGGTAAAATGCATAAAACTGGCAATTTCTATTCTAAAGTACAAGGACAGGCATAGTCAATGTCAGAGATCTCGAAACAACACTACTTACATAATCCCAAGTTTTTCCAGATAATGACATCCCAAGAGTTTGGGCCTTGATCATGCCCTCAAGGTCACATCTTCTCCATTGAGAAGGGTGACAAAATCAGAATTTTCCACAGTGAAACTCACCCCTGCTTGGCTCTCTGTATTACAGATATTCCTTGGGGACACTAGAGGACTTGCCTCTGGATACAAAAGCACAGGAAGGGCAGGGTGAGAGAAGATGTCGCCGAATGCAGCATTTCAATAGCCATCTGACTTGTGTGCTCATAACATTCGTCCCTCCTGGCTCCATCCTTCAATGTTTGCTTGGCACAAGTGAAGCCAGAGATCCCTTATGAGAATCAAACCAGATCCTGGAAATCCTCAGGCCCCAGGATCATGGGTTGATTTGGAGAATTCCCTTCCCAGGTTTGGATCAAAGCTCTTTCTGCAGGATTCTCCATAGCGGGGAAGTTTGGAGCTAGTCTCTCGGAGGAGGCTGTGGCACCTCGCAAAGAGAACCCAGGCAGACTGATCCAGTTTCCAGAGCTTAGTGTATTGAATGTCACATCAGGCACAAGAGTACAAAAGATCCTTGGCCAAACAGAAAAGGGCAGGATTAAGATGCAGCTCAATGAGACGGTGGAAACCTAACCAAAGCCCTCTTCCCTAGGTGAACATCCCCNAGGCAGACTGATCCAGTTTCCAGAGCTTAGTGTATTGAATGTCACATCAGGCACAAGAGTACAAAAGATCCTTGGCCAAACAGAAAAGGGCAGGATTAAGATGCAGCTCAATGAGACGGTGGAAACCTAACCAAAGCCCTCTTCCCTAGGTGAATATCCCCCTGAGTAATTTTCTTCCAGATTCCTGTGGCTGAAAACTCTAAGGAGCGTTTTGCCTCTGATTTCTGAAGGCAAGTTCACTCTCGGACCTAGTGGGTGGTATGAAAATGGATTGCTTAATCTGTGGACGTTTTTCTACTGTACAGTCGCGACGTGAAGCATGCCACCACCAAATTTTGGCACATATTGCAATTCCCATCACCTGTTCATTCCTTAACCCAGTCTCAGATTGTCACAATTCTGATGGGCCTGGAATAAGTGAGGCATTTACCGTCAAGTAGCAGAGCCAGTTTTAAGCTATAATTTCCCAACACCTGCCTAGAGGCGGGCAGGTCCCCAAATGCACAGTTAGCATGGTGGCCACTCCATTATAACATTGCTTCCTCATTAGAACCAGTGGCTTTAAGCTCTGGTTGTGCAGAGGTGGTGTTAAATCTAAATCTAAGATAAAGCAAGAACTATCAAGCCTGTGCCGAGTCTGTGGAGTGGTTCCTCCTAAATACAGTTAAGTTGGCGGTGCGGCCTAGTAGAAAGAACACTTATGATCGAGGGCCAGCTCTCCTCCTCGTTACAGCATGAATCCAGGCAAACCACTCAGTTTCCCATCATGGAGATACTTATTACGCTTATCTCATGGGATCATTATGAGAACGAGTGAGACTCTTAAATGTCATGCTAACATTAGATTACATTGTAAATTGCCTTGGTGTCCAGCTATTCTTGCAAATGATGCTCCAACAGGTATCAGTGGAGGGGCAGGCTCTGAGGCTTCTAGAGTACCTTCTTTCACCTCAGCTCAGACCCAGGCTAGATTTCTAAGAGCCAACCCAAGTAACAACTTAATTTTAGACCCTTTTTTCAAAGCTACATCCAACTTTGTGAACTGTTTAATCAGATTTGAATTTAACAGGGAAATAAATAAACATCAGCGCCACATAACCAACTAGCAGCTAGATGATTTAGTAGACCAAAAAACAAAGCAGTCTCTCCATATGAGCAGGAAATCATTTCCCCAGAGGCCTAGAGGAGCTGGCTGTGATTGACAGGAGCACCGTGATGTTTCACCCCCTCCAACCTTCGCGGAGAAGGGACAGGAGCCCTGATTTCCCCATAGAAAATGAAAATGACTAGCCCAAGACCTGGGGGACAGCAACCTTCAACTAAGAGAGATGTCATGGGCCCTTCTCATTTTCCAAGATCCTGTGTCCTTGCTGGAAGTGTCACCGTTGCTAATGCACAAACATCAAGGACTGAGGCCACACGGTCACTGCCTTTACTCTGTGGGCAAAGAAGGTGGAAACCAGCTGTTTTTTGTTTGCTCTGCTAATAGAAAAAGATTATTGTCCTTTCACCAACAGCAGCCGAGCAACTAAGTATTTAGATTCCAGGTCACAAGGACCCAACCTTCCACTGGAAGGAGGCAGTTCACCTGATCCCAGCAGCAGCTGGCTCTGCCCCCAGGCCTGGCTCGGCAGGATGTTTACATCAGTGAGATCACCTGGATCTCCCAGAAAGCGAGGTGGGTAAAGAGTGGAGGCGGTTACACAACATAAACATTTTCATTGTTTTGTCCGTCATAATCCACACAAACTTTGGAGGCTAAAATAAAGCCTCTTCAAGTAACCTGCAGTGGCTTAAAAAGTCAGAATGTCCATTCATTACATCAAGGCAGCAAAAGTCTAGAACTGAGCTGTCCAATACAGTGGCTACTAGCACATGGGGCTATTTAACTTTAAATTTAAATGAATTAAAATAACATTTAGAAGTCAGTTGTTCCTTGGTCTCACTGGTCACATTTCACGTGCTCAGTAGCCACATGTGGCCTGTGGCCTGTGGCCTCTGTATTAGATCACGCATATATAGACCATTTCCATGGTTGCAGAAAGATATATGGGACAGCCCTGCTTCAGACTGTGGTCAAATCCAAAACACAAACAATACCCCATGGGCCAGGAAGGGGTTTTGTTTCCCAGATACTAGCCCTGCATGATCCATAATGCAATGTTTTGCAATGCAGTACTGTAACTCTGGCTGGCTTGATTTGCATTTTGTGGTTTTCCACCACCTGGGTATATTTGCTCAATTCCTTTCATTACCTATTTATTCAGCCTATCCTGTCTGTGAAATCTTCAGCTTCTCCTCTTTCAAACAGCTCTTAGGGAGTTGCTCTCCCATTAATCTGTCAATGTCAACCTACCAGCACCCTTAGCAGTGTCAAGAAAGCAGCCAGG